TATTAGTCGAGATGATTTACAAATGGAAGAAGTTAAGATTTGGAACCGTATTATTGAATGGGGAATTGCTCAAAACCATCTGATCTTGATAATTGGTCCCATGAAAATTTTCTAACCTTAAAGACCACTTTACAAAATTGTTTGGCTCATATCCGTTACTTTAAATGTCCAGTGACGACATTGTTAATAATGTACAAACATATCAACCAATTATCGAAAAAAGCCTTTGGAAAGACATAATGAAGAAGTTTACGTCAAATCAACCAATATCTTCGAAAATTCTTCCGCCTCGTATAATTTTAACACCAAGATTACCAAATAGAAATACAGGACCATTTTCAGCAGTTATCAATAGGGAACATGCAGCAGAAATCGCTTCATGGGTTGATAAAAAAGTCAATACATATTCCATAACAGATAATCCATATGAATTTAAATTACTTCTTCGTGGGACTAGAGATAGCTTTACCCCTGAATCATTTTGGAAATTATGTGATAAAAAAAAAAATCTTGTTGTTGTTATGAGAGTTGAGGATACTGATGAAATTCTTGGTGGTTATAATCCTGTCGGTTGGGACAAACCAGTTGAAGAATGTTTAGCTAAGTACTGCAAAGATAGCTTTATTTTTTCATTGAAAAATGGTACTATTCAAAATTCTATTTTAAGTCGTGTAAAAGAGCCAGAATATGCAATTTTTTGCCAAGATGATTTTGGCCCACTTTTTGGTGGCGGATCCGATTTAGCCCTGAAAGATAAATTGACGTGTTGGAACGTTCAAGAATCATATGACCGAATTAGAGATGCATCTACATTTGATGATGATGGAGCATCACAATTTTCAGTGGAAGAATATGAGATTAGTAAAAAGCACTAAAAATTTATGCTAGTTATTTCACAAATAGAAATTGTGAACAATAGCTTATTTATTGCAGTTTAAAATGTGATACTTTATCTTATTTCATCTATCTTAGAAGTATGTTGTAAATGGATATGAAATATTATAGATTTGAAATCGGTTTTTCAAATCTAAAAAAAAAAAAACTTAGCACATGGAAAATTTATGTAATTAACTACGAAAAAGTAAAACAAAATATATATCCTTTAATAGCTAAAGTTAAATCAGTATCTGGAATAATATGATATTATTATACAATATGAGCCCGCTACTTGTGCACAATTCTCATGAATTTTGCTATCATTATAACTATAATCTAATCGTTAAAAATATTATTATTTCTGGGCCATTTTGACTTTTTTAGCTTGCCTGATGTTCACGATTGTCTATGAGTTTATAGTTTGGCAGGGTTTTGAAAATTATATGAAAGATATTAAATTATATATAAGATTATGTGCTAAACATTTTTAAACTAAATTGGGCAGTAAAATTTCGAGAGGTTGCGATTCTTTTTGTACATGAATTTCCGGCTTTCTTTGAACGATTTTTCTTTTCTTTTCATTTTTTTTTTTGGATCTAGCTATATATTTATGTCGTACCGGTAAGTAGATTCAGAATTCTGTGAATTTGGAATACCTTAAGTAAATTCATAACCTACTGAAGCGGTTTCTGGATCTCAGAACTACTTAGATGGAAATGGAATAAAAGTTTATAAGCAAAATTGATTTTTTTTGTAGTAAAAATTATACGATAAATATGCGATTGTTTAAAAACATTGCAATTTTGTCTAACAATATTTTATACAATTCTTTAAAAATTATTATGTAGATAATAATTATTTTCAAATATCTAATTAGAACGCCTTAAATATTTTAAATTCTCTGTTACAGTTATATTTGTACTAGCTACATGTATAATATAAGTTAACTGCATTATTGCACACTAATAATTTTAAAAACTCCTTACATCAAATTATTTAAAATTTCCGAGAATAATTTTGTTAATTTCTTCTAAAGAGTGCAATACCGAAAAAACTGGTTTTAATCAATCTTTGGAAAATCATATCGATATGAATGGCTAAAAGAGATATCCTAAATTGATTATGTTATCCACTGATCCTATTTGATTAGTTCTTCATACGTATCATTTTTTATTTAACTAAGCAATGAAAGATAAAGGAATGACTACTGATGATCTACGATTAAGTACTAACGCTCCTTCTTTACAAACTTTATATGAAATATTGAATTATCCAAGATTCTAAAAAAAAAATTTTATTTTTCACAGTTAAATTAGAGTTAAAGTTTGCTATCAAGTTAAACTTCTTAAAAACTAAAATTTCGCAAGGAAAACTTTTTATTAGTGCACAGAAGACAGTTTAAAAAGTAAATTGTTGAGTTATGAACAATTTTTTGGTTTACTTTGCTTTTTTTGTGAATAAAAATCTATTCATTATGGTTTAAAATTTGAATCTGTTAGCTTTTATTCCCTTTGTTATTTTGTGGAATATCAGTGGAATCGGAATCAGCTTAAGTTGATTCTAGATCTTAAAAGACTAAGTGATAAAAATTTATGTGATTAAGTAACTATGAAAGTATAAAACAAATATGTATCCTTTAATGGCTAAAGTTAAAATCTTTGATAATTTAAATTTTCATATTATCTGAAAGAAATATAATATTATTTAAGTGTCTTTATGATAGTGTGATAATCGCTTGATATTAATTATTTTGGTAATATATTTAATTGCTAATCAGGCTAAGATCGACACTGATTGCTATAATTTATTATAAAGATAAGGGATAAGAGTTATAATAATTTTAATACACACGTTGAAATCTGAACACTTTGTCTTTAAAATGTCAAAAAAAATACAAACAGTCGCTGTTACGCTTGTAGAACCTGGTGTTATTGATGAAAACTATCACTATGGACCTTTTTCACGATTTTGGTGGCGAGAAAATACTATAAATAATAATAATAATAAATTTCCTTTATTTCCAATTCGTATTGGGCAAAAAACTTTTACTATTCTTAATAGTCAAAAATTTGTTGTTACAGTAGTTATTGGTTATTCAACTACTTCTTTTTTACCTGGTTATCAATGTTCTTGTAATGATATTTTTTCAGAAATAGTTGCTGATCCAAGTACGGCTATTTCTACAGTATATACAAAATTATTAAAAACTAAAACCCGTTATTCAGGACCCCTTATAATTGGATGGACTAATGAAAAATTATATCTCATCTTTTATTTGATATTAAATTTTGTCCATTTTTATTTCCCTTAGATAGTAAAAGTAAAATTTTTGTATTTGGAATTGGTTCATCATCATTACAAAATTTTAAAAAAGGAGGGCCTGGTTATAAATCATCTTTAATTCGTAAATATTGCTCTAAAAAAACATTATTTGTTTCAATTATAGACGATTTAAAGTGTTTTCTTGAAATTTATCAAGAGTTTCAGTTAATAAATCGCATTAGAGAACAAACACCTGATGAAGTATGGCATTCGATTGGCATAAAAAAGTTTAATGGCACTCAACTTTTTGGTTTAGAACATTCAACAACACAACTATATCTTCAGCAGCATTATTTTTCTACATGTATTTCTGCTGATTGGAACAATTATAATCTAATGAAAAATCTTTTTGATTACTATTTAAAATGAAGAACAATTGCAAATATTACATGGAATCAGTTCTTTGTTAATTGGGCTAAAAATGAAAGCAAAATAATAAAGTTAATTACTAGTCTACAAGAAATATATCCAGCACATTATCAATTTAGTGATAGAGAATTTAGTGCTTGGCAAACTTTAATTCGAGCAGCTGGTGGACATAACATAACTCCATGGTCACACAATGAGTCAGAGGTTTGAATTTTATTATTTAAACTAAATTGTTTAGATTATTATATGTAATAACAAATTTTATTAGTTTCAGATTTGGATATATGCTAACCCGCCTGATAAAGATAAAGAAATAATACAAATATTATATAAAATGGGGTTTTTAACACCAATTCCAAAACATATACCTAACAATATGCAAACTTTTTGGTCATGTTTTCAACGTGCACTTTCTAACAATAAAAAAAATCAAGATAGTAAATGACATATACTCTCAATTATTGCGAATGATTTCACATATTCTGAATTAGAAGCTAATTTAAATGTAAGAAACTTTAATTTAAATTTATTATTAATAAATTTTAATTTATTATAAAATAATAAGGTTGGACAACATATAATTCATGAATCCCGAAACCATGTAATAACTTATGGATATCGTGCACCACCACTTTACAAACCAATTATTCATCATGTTCGATTTTTTCAAGAAAATTTAATACAATTTGATCAATTTTTTATGCACAAAGATAATATTTCACAAAGTAGTTACAAAACTGATACTTCAACTGGCTTACCTGTAGTATATTTGTGTGATACAAAAAAAGGCTTGTGGGAAAAGTTTCACAAAGAATTTCCAAATGGAATGCGCCATACTGCATTTATGACACGTTTAGAAGGTGGACGCTTTTTATATAAAGATAATTTAGGTGGACTTTGTAATACATGTAATGAATGTGGTTATGAGGTGTTTGAAGATATTAGATCATTAGTTGATAAATATATAATGAATATAACAGACAGGGTATGTATAAATATTGTTATTTTTGGTTTATTTAATTTATAATTAATTTATATTATTAATATGTATAAACTAATTATTTAAAAAATAGAAAGAATTAATTAAAAATATGGAATATTTACAATGGTATTTATGAAAAGACTATGCAAAAACTCTTTTAGTAACCAAGCAAGGTGTTCCAATTCACAATTCGTGTATTAGTCATTGTCTTGCATATGCATTTGGAAATTGTAACTATTTGCATTCTAATATATGCAAAGAGTGTGAAAGTCTTTTTGAATTTTTTACTCAAATTACAAAAAAAGCTAGACATTAAGCAGCACGAATTTTTAATGGATTATCAAAATCATTTAGTAGCTTTTATAGCTCATCATGCATGTAGAACTTATTTGAATACACAGCTAACTGCTGAACTTGAGTTTTTAGATCATAATGGAGCACTTATTCTTGTAGATTTTAAAATGCGAATTAATCCTCAAAGTGCACGTGAAACCAAAGAAGATTTTTTGATAAACGAGGATGAACCTTACATACAGTTCTTGTATATCAAAAAAACCAAGATAAAAAGCTAAACATACAAGCATCTGATCATTGGTTTGATGATACTCATCAAGATGCATGGTTTGTGGCTTCGTTACTCCATATAGTTATAGAAGTAATTAATCCAAAACCACAATGGATAACAATAGTATCAGACAATGGCCCATATTACAGAAATACAAAATTAATGTTAATTACAGTAGGAATTATAAGTATCCCACCCCCTCTAACTTTTTAAAATTAAAAAATATAGCTTTGAAATTTTTACAGCAAGTAGTACTATAT